TGGCTATAGTAGTTTCTTAATTTAACAACTGAAACAAAAAGAATATTAGGGTTTTCGAAATAATACTGAGGTTGATTTCAGTTTCACTAAACTTTCTGTCCGTTGAACAATAAACTAGAGGCAATTTCTGAAACTTTATTTTGCTTTTTATATATCATGATAATTATAGTGATTTGCAAAGTTTTTTAAAACATCAGTCATGGTTAGGGAAACAGAATTCTTAGCAGCGGAACACACACTGAGTTCAGCTTAAGAACTGGATAGAAAAACAAGATCAAATGGGAATGACTTCTGAATTAGAGTGATAACTTGTTGTTCTTTCGACTCATTTTCCCTCCCAAAGTTCTGCGGTCTTCGCTGTCATCAGTTATGGATTTATTGTAGTTGTTTCATTGTAGAGCTATTCCTGGTACCGTTAGTGGACGGAGTTATTGATGAAAAGTTTAAATTGAGAATCTTAAAGAAGACTAACTAATGTAAGACCGTTTCAGTAGATGCAAGCGTGAACGGTTGTCACCAACAGACTCAGTTATAGACATATGAAAAGAAAGAGTATGTCAGGAAGCAAAAAAGATATTCTTTTTTATTGCTTCTAGTAAATTATGACTTCTTTTTTACTTTTACTCTTTGAAAAAGTTTTTTTGCAGTTTGCTGCACGTATTTCTCTGTTTACAAAAATTTCAGAACGAATAAAGGATTTTTATAAAATAAAAGTTTTTGAAAAAACTATATATAGATGCCTTTTTCGCAAAGTAGTTACTTTTGCGAGACAGTTTATGGAATCAAAAAGTGTCAAATTTAACGCTTTGTAAAAATAATAGTATTTGATCGGCGGCGAAGACTACATGCAACAGACAGCACCGCGTTTATTACTTCAATACTTAAAAATCTTTTCTAAGATGTTTAAAAGCCTATTTACAGGCAGTAGTGTTCTTCATTGATTAAGTTAAAAAAGCTTTCCCGAAAGCTCGATAACTGATTGTCAATGGTTGAAGGCTGTTTCTCATTAATATTAAATTTTAGGATGTTTTTTAAAATCATTTTTCTTATACTGCTGACGATTATCCTTTCGGAAGTTCAGTCATGTGATATCCAATTGAAACTAGTGAGTGAAACCGACAAAGAGGTTGAAGTGCAGCTTATCATTCCCGGGCTTAGACTAAAAACTGAAAAACTTTCTTTTAAGAAGAAAGGAGAGCGACGACTTGTCAAAGTGAGTGCTTTATTATTAGTGAAAAATCTTCACTTTATGGTTTTCTCAAATTATTTGTTCGGAATAATGACTTTTTGCTTTCTGAAGTTACTAATCCTAAAGATGCATTCCTGCATAACTTCAGGTCCAAGGCAAAAATTGTTTCTCTGACTTCTGGACGATTAAACTTTGGAAGAAGGAAGATGGTAACTGGGTGCTTGCTGAAACTACAAAAAGAAAGCTTGACGGAAATGGATGGATTCAGTTCCGGATCGACGATATCCCAAGGGTCTCAATGCTAAACGGTTTCGGAGTTATAAACTCTGGACTTTGAAAATCTTTTGAAACTGTAGCTAAAAGTCATAATTATCGTCTATTCCGGACTGTTTAAGACTTCTAAGTTAATGAAAATGTAGAAAATGAAAGACATTTCTGTGAGTACAATCGAGAAATGTTGACGAAAACGAATGAGCTATAACCAAAGATTTTTGAGGTAATTATTTACTATGTGGTGTAAGGTTAATACACTGATGCTATACCTTTGTTCTGTAAGTTACGAGCTCGCTTGTTTGTATTTATTTGACAGGTAAAATTACTCATTCTTAAAGAACAGTTCTTACTGAAACATTGAACAACGCTGAACAATACCAAAAATTGGTAACGATTATTTAAACAAACGTCCTAACTGCAACTGAAAACTGCAGTTCGCAAGAAATAAATTAATAATAGTACCGGAATAGTATCGCAGACTACGAGATAATTGCTTAAGAACAGTAGTTGACATGAGAACTTCTTGCAGTTGTTGATATGAACATTTTTATATATTCTACAAGTTTATAAGTAACTGGTGAACTATCAAAGAAGTATTTTATCATATTTGAAAACTAGAAAATAACTGCTGTCATTACCATATCACTGAACTTAAAGCAACAGTACGTGATTATTTTTGCCTTAGAAGGGTTCAGACTACCTACTTTGCAGTTTGTTTATAGATTATTATACTAGTTTTTGTTTTTTTGAAAAATGTTGATTTGATGCAGAAACGACATTAGAATTTGCTGCATGGGTAATTCCTTTTTTTTTTAAGTCGTTGAATAAAAATTTACAGTGTGAACAAAATTTTGAGTGTATTTTTAGAAAAACGAACATATAGATTAATTTGGTAAGAAAGCTGTTTTGTTAGCCACTCAAAAAAATCTGCTTTAATTCAACTTTTCTACTTTTTATATTCTTCCACTCATTTTTTGTTTCTGTGCCTTTTCCAGAGTACACCCTCTTCTCTCACTGCACATATAACAATTAACGGCTCTAAAACCTCAAGAAAGTGCAATTTTTTATTCACTTTAAAGCTATTGCAAGTTTTTGAGCATTTACTAAAAAATCTGGTCAGTAAAGAACAAAACTGTTTTGCGATTCAGCCTAATACAATCTAAAATCGCAAATAGCAGTTAAAAAATTTAACTAAATTTCCAAAGTTATAGCAAACGTTCATGATTTTTCAAGCCAATTGGCAAAAAAATTAAAGAATAAGGTAACGATATTTGACACAAATGCTGAGATTACCTGTTTAGTGAAGAAAATGCTTTGCGCTAGCATCAAAAAAGTAAAAATAAAACAACTTTTTTTTATTTTAAAAAGACACTTGTTTTATCATGTTCTTCTCAATTCACTTGGTTAATCAGTCTAAGTTACCGTAGTCGTCGTAAAAAATCAAAAGTTTTCTTTCATTCTTGCTGATATACGTTTTCTCAAAGCACTTTAATTGAGATGACGCTAGAAGCACGTGAGCGACATCTGATCGGTCTGATGTACAATCTGTTATCACAAATACTGCTATGTAGATGGTTTCCAATTTTGACTGCATTACAATCACACAACTTTTTGTAAAAAGATTGGAGATGTTGTTCTAATTATTCGACAATAATATTT